ACTCTCTGACCAGCTTATTAGGCTCCCTAACAGGGGGATCAATGATCAAGACCCCAACAGGACCACCACAGAGCAACACTATTGATCATTTGCTACCAGTGAGCGCCCGAATCCTCCCCCAAATTATCTGGGTAGAGGACCATTCTTATCCTTACAATGACACTGACGCGGTGGTGGTGTGTCAGTGTGTATGTGTGTGCGCTGCACAGAGTGGATCAGACACAGCAATGTTTCTGGAGTTAAACACCTCGCTGTCACTGCTGGACTAAGAATAGTCCAATATCCAAAAATATCTAGCAAACAGTGTTGCCTGTCCACTGACGAAGGACTAGAGGATGACTAACACAAATTGAGAAGTTATCATGTCTAACTTTACATCAACAAGGTGGACCAACAAGGTAGGTGCGTCTAATAGAGTGGCCAGTGAGTGGACACAGTGTTTAAAAACTCCAGCAGCACTGCTGTGTCTGATCCACACATACAAGCCGAACACACACTAACAAACCCCCACCACGTCAGTGTCACTAGAGTGCTGAGAATGATCCACCACCCAAGTGATACCTGCTCTGTGGTGGTCCTGTGGGGGGCCTGTCCATTGATGAATGGGGTAACAGGGGGCTAATAAATTATGCATAGAAACAGGTGGACTAAACTGTAGAACTACAAAATGCATCTATATGGTAAGTGGACCAAATAACATGGACGATGATTGCAGATACAAGCTAAGCGTACATAATAAATAGGCTAAGAAGTGTATGTATGTGTGAAGACATTTGTCCACATTTCCTAAAGACAATGGGAAAACATGATGAGCTGGTTAGTATCTGCCTGGTAAAAAATACTTGCTTGGAAAGGTTGGAAAAAATGTTTAAATTCTTCAAACACCCAATGGAAAATGTTGCATTCAGGATTTACCATGGTATCCAAGCAGATAAAGCTAAGTGAGCTGTCCCAAGGCCTAGAAGCTGACCTAAAGGCCTAACATGTAAGATTATCTATCAACGTAATTAAGTGATGGTGGAATCATGTTTTGATGTACAGTATGTGGGACCAATTTAGCAAGAAACTTGAGAAATTGTCATTCTAGGCCTTCTCAACGTCACGGATCTGTCACTGACTCATATGACTTAGGTCAGTTGCCAGAAATGAAAAACATACATTATTTATACATACATTTTGACCAAATTCTCAATCTAAAAGATCTAACAGTCAAGGTTCACCACTGATTTTTAAAACTAAGTGTCGGTATTAATAGAGTGGTACTTAACTACATTCAGTTATACTCGAGTCAATGGAAATACCCCACAAAGGAATGTAAACTTGTGTGTGTGTGAAAGCGAGACAGTGTGTGTGTGTGGTGTTTTTTTTCCTGTTCTCTTGTTGATAGTGTAGTCATGCGGCAGACTAATGTAACGTGTCAGAGTGTTGTCAGTGGAGTTCAGGGCAGACATAATTACCTCCCAGCCTGTCCCTCTGCAGCCTGTTCTGCACTGATTAAAACACTCAGATATGAGTCGACCCATAAGAAGTCCTGAAATATGCTTTGACAGCTCTCTGCTCTCCACTCACATGCAGACATGTTCACATCTATGTTTTAAATCAGCCTCCCTGCTGAAGCTAAATCTGTCCTGTCCCACCAGCCACTGAGGCGGAGAAGAAGAACTTCTACAAGAGCCCTTTAAATGGTGATGATTCACATAAAGATCATCGTTAACTACTCTCTATTATGTATTTGAGTAAAATAAAAAGCAGAAACGTTTGCAGTTCATATAAATACATGAGCGTGCAGCATGTGTGCTAATGTATTTATATTAACTGCAACAATAAACTCTGATGGTCACGATTAAATAGATAAAATGTTAGATTTCTTCAGAACTCCACAAACTAAGCAGAAGGCTTTTTCATGCCTCAAAACCCTTTAGCTCCCACTTCCTTTCTTTGTCTGTCTCACTCAGTCTTCCCCTCTGTCTATCTGTTGCTCTCTCTTTCTTTGTCATTCTCTTAGAACGCAATCGCTTCCTGGTGGACAAACAGCTCAAAGCTCAGAGAAGCAAAAAGAAGTCTATATGAATAAGAACATGAGAAGATCTCTGCTCTCTCTCTCTCTCTCTCCCTCTCTGTCTCTCTCAAACACACATCCACCCACAAACACACCCACATCACAAACCCACACTACTGTTAGATCATCACAGTCATCTAAAAACATATGCAGTGTTGAATGAATTCTGACCTAAAACCCTGCTCTGCTCCTTTCTAGCAATATAGGCTTACTTTTCAGCCGTATGCTAGACTATAAATTACATATTCTCTTATCAGCTCGAGCATTTCCTTCACTATGTACAGCATTTTCAATACCAGGGCCTCTGACATGTTTACGCATGTGTACCTACAGTACAAAAGACTTCTGAAAATACGTAAAGGCATGTATTTGTTAAACAAACAATAACATTAGAAGAAATACAAATAAGTATATAATACATTGTGTGCAGCGAGACACGAGGAACCAAACCTGTGTTCAACTGACTGTATTCTTTGAATCAACATATTAATGCACCTTCTGGAGTACAATAAACACATCATTAAATACACAGAAGTATGCGAAAGTTTGGGTGCCCCTGGTCAAATGACATGTTTTGTTGTGAAAATAAATTAATAACACATCCTCTACAGAAAACACACTTCTGCACATTTTAGTTCAAAATTACTCTTTATTTGCTAAATTTAACATTTTGGAAAAAATACATGCTTATATTACATAAAATATGGCCTGTGCAAAAGTTCACATTTCACAATTTGTTTTATTTTTACAGTATATTAAATTCAACAAGCAAGTTTATTCCCTGTAGAGGATGTGCTAACTTAGAAAATTACAAAAACATGCAATTTGACTGGAGGTGCTGACCGAAGGAACTATTGCATGTGACTGTAGGTTTGAAATACTGCATCTAATCAGTCTGATACTGATAACTTGTTTTTTTAAGTAATTTTTAAGTAATTTAAGTAAAATCTGCTGATACTGAAATGATCCCTATTATGCTTCACTGCATTTAAGTTTATTTCTATTTATTCTAATGTTATATTGTCTTTCATGCTGCAAAACACACCTACTGCAGAGATAAATAGTCTTAAACAATTGTCTTGGCTGTACAGTACTCTATATGTAAAACAGTGGTTTATTAAAGGGCTGAACTGTCCACAGTGACTGTACAGTGGAGCTGAGGAGCTGTATGGATCAGGCTTAGAAGCTTGAAATTTACTCTGTAAGACAACTATAAATACTTGATGCCTATTGTATTAATTCATTTCTTCAAACAAACAAAAAATACACAGTTTACACACGCCCAACAACTTCTTTTTCACTTGCTAACAAGGTCTCAGCATACAAAGAACAACTTGAAGCCTGCAGAAAAAGCATCCCTACTGAAATGCACTTTATAAAGCTGCCTGAAAGAATGCCAAGAGTGTTTAAAGCAGCATAAAAGCAAAGAGAGGCTGATTTATAGAATGAATTAATTTATAGAATCTAAAATATGACTTGTTTAACACTTTTTTGGTCACTACTTAATTCCATAAGTGGTATCCTTTTGATATCTTCATTATTATTCTAAAATGTGAAATACAGCAAAAATAACGAAGGCCTTTTATGAGTAGGTGTGGCAAAACTTTTGACTGGCACTATATAAATTAGACCCTACTCCCCCCGGAGGGCTCCACAGAGAAAAGGATGGTGTTTCCTCCCCTCTGTGAAGTTAAAAACAGTGTGGTGCCTTTGGCCATGAAGCGAAATGCAGCACTTTCCTCCTACGACTAACTTTATCTACACAGTCGAGCTGTTTGTCGTCTCTTAAAAAGATATCTATATGCATCTACATCTCTTCTTGAATTGCTTTCCCTGCATCTCTAGTTGCAGAGTGTCATTCTGACTCATTCTTTCATGCTGCTATTCCAACTGCAGTTTTCTCCCCATCACTCACACATGCCCCTATCCTCCAATTTCACATTCGCTCTTTCTCGCTCTCACTCTTCCCCTGCTTCTCATAGTTATCTGAAACTAAATCTCTAAATCTTCACACCGGCTTTTTTCCGGCGTCCTCCACTACAATCCTTCCATCAACATCTCTTTCTCTCTCTTTGTCTATCACTCTCTTGCTCTCAGCTGATTTGTAAATATATTTTGCATTGTTTGTGTGGTGGTGTTTACTACTTTTCGAATGTTCTTTTCCAAAGGATCCATTAGCAAATAGACATCTAAAAGATGCCTATGTTGCCAACAAAAAGGCTGACAATGCCAAGCACACTAAATCAGCACAGGCAGGACAATAGCAGGCCAGGCAGGCTCCAGCTGAACCCGATTGAATCAAATAATGAAGGTTATAAATCAACTCCCATGTAAGTGTGTGTTTTGCTTGTTTTTGTCTTTCACTCCTCATCTCTCCTTTGTCTTGTTCCCCTTCCCTCTTTTCCTCTTTCTCTTTCCATCTATCCACATAACAGAGAAAGAGACTAGAACTTGGCCTGAGCTGATCAACAGAGGGTGGAGGAATGGAGCCAAGGAGAGTGAAAGAGAGAGAGAGAGAGAGAGAGAGAGAGAGAGAGAGAGAGAGAGAGAGAGAGAGAGAGAGAAAGAGAGAGAGAGAGAGTTCAGGTGCATTAGAGGGGATAGTGTAGGTCTTATCTGTCACCCGCAGCTCTGCTCTTATTAAAGGAAGGCTCAGAGCTGAAGGGAAAGGCTGGCGTTTCATTTCAGCAACTTCACCTGGCACAGTGTATGTGTGTGTTGTGTGTTTGGGTGGGGGGGGGAAGAGAATGACCGAGGCAGAAACAGAGAGAGAGTATGTGTGGTGCCCTTGCTGTGCTTTAAAGGCTCTCTCTATGTTCAGTCCATCTGCATTAGAGAGTTGGCCAAAACAACTGGACAATACCACGATGATGAAAAAGTAAGTGTGTGTGTGTGTGTGTGTGTGTGTGTGTGTGTGCGCGTGTGTGTTATATTGGGGTACCTGCTGTTGAAAGGCAGTTTTCTTCATCGCTGTTGTCTTGGCAGTTGTCCTGACCATTACAGAGGAAACTGCGGTCCACACAGCGTCCGTTCCGACAGTGAAACCGTGCAGAGGAACACACCAGAGGATTACCAGCTACACAGACAGACAGAGGGGGTGGAAATAAAGGGAAAGAGAGACAAATAAAGAGACAGAGAGAGAGAGAGGGAGAGAGGGAGAGAGAGAGAGCACAGCAAATCTTAATTTGGATCTTAATGTCAGGAGGTCATTGTCACTTACCGGCCATAATTAGCACTATAGCACACTGTGGCCATGTAGGCTATGACCTATGCTAACTGCGTTCCCTCAGTGAGCATGCACACACAATTCTCTCATTGATCTCTCAGCATTAAAATGCCCTCTCATCACCATTTATTCAGCTTATTACATCATTGCACATTATCAGCTACTTATTTCCATAATTGTACAGATTCCAGTTTGCCCTCATCTCCTGCCATACACTGGGATATTATCTGATAAGCAGTGACAGTCGTACCATCTCAAAAGGCAATTAGATTCCAGCTTTCTATCAGGAGACTGCAAATCAATGTCAGATATCAAATACGGATGACATTAAAAAGCGAGAGCTGGCAACCGAACAAGTGAGAAAACTTCTCTCCAAAGAACTAGTTTATGAGACCAACTTTACATGCAGAGAAAAGAATTCCAACTTTTCTTACGTTCCACTTATAGCTTGAAGAAACCAAATGAAGCAGAATTATCTGGAGGACAGATCGAGACAATTACACAGTGTAGCGGGCCGCCTGCTTTAAGCTCAGCTCCGTTTAAATGGTTAGATTAGATCTGAGCGTACATGATGCCCTGCAGGCTATGCAGAGCGTCTCTCTCTCTGCTCGATGGGATTTTGCTTTGTTACAGTCGTACACCCAGAGCAGGTACACTGCCTTCTGAGGACAAGCTGGATCAAACACCGCAAAAAAGCTATTCCAAAATTACACCTGAAAGAGCGTGCAGAGACTTTTAGCTGCACCGTGACAAACTGCCGAGCTTCAGACTGCCTTTTCATTTAATTAGCAAAGTGCCTTATGAGGATACAAATAACTGCAAATGCTATAAATTCTGACTATTGACAAAGCTAGCAGTAAATGCAGTCTCTGTATTAGCAGTGGAGTAATTCTGATTATTGGATCACAGAGATCATTGTAAATATATGTATGACAGAGAACTAAAGAAGGGCACCTACTCGTAGTGGTATTCTTTCACTTTGTTGAGAAATCTCCAGTGTTTTAATTAGAGATGAGCACTCCATCCAATCAATCGTTTTAAATGAACAGTGTTAGAGTATCCCAATGAGAAAATGTTTTGTATTGTCACTTAGAGCTATCCTACGACATCTTTTTGTTTGAAATATTTCCATATATACTGACGGGTGACAAATTAAAGGGAAAAAACCCAAATGAATGAGTGGAGAAACATGACGAGTGCAGTTGCTTCCAAACAGATACTTTATCATTGGGCTGCTGACGGTCAGGAGCCTGGCCAGTCACAAAGACTGCTCAACTGGCTAGTGTTTCAACTGGAGCAGTGACTAAAGTGACATCTGCATTTAGGCTACGTTCACATTACAAGCCTCATTGCTGAAATCTGATTATTTGCTTAAATCCGATCTCTCTGACACAATGGTTCACACTCGTTTTGGTGATTCAAATCTGTCATTAATGTGAATGAACCGGCTTCCTGAAATGACCCGCATGCGGAGAACCTACCCAGTAATGTCACATGAATGAATCACGTGTCACGTGCATCATCAGCAAACAAAGTAACGAGCAGAATGAGCCTTCACTATGAAGATAATTTACTCTGAACATCTCTCAGCCGTTCATTATTAGAGTGAGACAAAGGCGAAAAAGGGTGAGCTGTGTTGCTTTTCCACCGTTTACAGGCTTTAACTTCTGTTCGACGCTGCTGCCATGGTAACGCTGAATGATGGTGCACGTGCAGTGGAAAAACAGCAGATGAATTATGATATGAGCGTTCACATTAAGGTTGCATGGCCATGAATCGGATACGTATCCGATCTAGGACTATATATGAAAGTGGCTCAGGTCGGATTTGAAAAGATCAGAGTCACAATAGGGCAAAAAAAAAAATCGGATTTGTGCCACTTCAACCTGGTAATGTGAACGTAGCCTTAGATCTATGGAAAAGACATTAGTAAATAGGGTCTGAAGTTATGATCTAAAGCATGCATTCAGTGAGCGTGATGCTCATGAATTAGTGTGACATGTAAGGAAAAACAGAAGAGCAGCTGTTCTTCAGGTAACTAAGAATGTCAGTACAGAATGTGATGCAGCTGTCAGCAAGAACAGTCCATCCACAACTACACAGAGATATTATGGTGGGGCTGTAGTGTATAAACGTGTAGTGCACGTATGAGAGTTCGGTAGTGTAAAAACCATAGATGCTCATCTACAGAGATCAGTCATCCTTCACCATATACTCCACAAATGGGTGAGAGTATGTGTGGTATACACCAAAAGAACAGTGCAGACCTGAATGCTTCACCCCTACAGTGATAGGGCTGGTGTCTCTGGTATGCTGTGGGGGGCATTTTGCAGGCATGATTTGAGCCCAATAGTCCCATTAGAGGGAAGGTTCACTATGAACTAATACAAAGTTATTCTGACTGATTACCATTAGCATTCTATTCAAATATCTGCTTATGTGAGTAAGCACATCCTAGCTTTTATTGTGAAGAATTAGGCACTTTTGCGAAAGCAATTCCAGATACAAAGTGATGCAATGCAACAACGCTTCAGGTGAAACAGTGAGTTGACTTCTTCAAATCTCTCTCTCTCTCTCTCTCTCTCTCTCTGTGTGCTGTGAAAAGGGACTAGCACTCTTTTGAAAAGTTCATAACAGAAATGCACATGGGAATATAGCTGAGACTGTACTGTGCCGGCTGAATGCGCTTTGTTCTGACAGGGAGCTGATTTGTTCGGTTGGATGGCTCGGGAAGAGGGCTGCTCTCAGGCCAGTTAGTCGTACCCCGCTCTGGCCTGTAGGACTGCCAGATGCAGATGCTGAGGAATACTCACTGCAGTTGTCTTCATCGCTGCCGTCAGGGCAATCCCGGAAGCCATTGCAGCGGAAACGGCCGATGATGCAGTGGACTCCATTGGCGCAGGCGAAGAACGTGGGCGCGCACTTGGACTTTACCCTCGCTGTGAAAGAGAAATGACAGGAAAGGTCAACAACAGCAGTATCTACGAGCACCCACTAATGGTTTAACTGACATTAAACTAGACGTACATTCATCTCTTCAAGAAATAGTTTGCTGACATATCAAACTGACAGAGTTTAGCCCAAATGTAGCCGAGCCAATGCACACTTGGTGTCCAAAGCAGAGCCAGGCCTATTCCTGGCCTATTCCTCTTATTACACCAAAAATGTAATGCAAACTGAGTCCTCAAAGAATGGGGGTGAAAGGAGCTAAATGGCTTTTTCTTGTCTTTAACACAGTAATTTCAAAGCAGCTCATTACTCATTAGTGTCATAAATGTACCTAAAGCACTGTTAGCAAGCCCTATAACTAGAGTTGAAAAGCAGTCAAAAAATATGACAGCAATTTGAAATATCATGCTATTCAGTGTCAAGAAAACAAGTGTGTCTGTCAGAACAAACAGAATTAACCATTTAAAAATTTTAATTTTGCAAGAAAGCTCCAGTGAAACCCATTCATTTTGTTTACAGTTAGTCCAAAATGCAGCAGCTCACCTTCTTACATGCACAAAAAAGAGGGACTACATCACCCCCATCTTGGCATCCCTACACTGGCTTCCTGTACACTACAGGATCCAATTCAAAGTTCTTTTATTTGTTTTTAAGTCACTAAATGGATCTGCGCCGTCTTATATAGGAGATCTGATCCAACCGTATCCTTTCTCTAGGTCCTTAAGGTCATCAGATCAGTTGTTACTAGCTGTGCCACAGTTTCGTCTGAGACTTAAAGGAGACCAGGCCTTTGCTGTTACGGCACTGAGACTGTGGAACAGTCTACCTCTGGACATTAGGTCTGCACCCTCTACTGATGCTTTTAAGTCTTAGATTAAAAACTACATTTATCGGTTGGCCTTTGATTCTGTGAACTGATTGTACTGGATCTTGTTTTGTTAAATATCTCATGTTGTCTTTTATATGTATTTTAAATGTATTCTGTTTGTACAGCACTTTGGGTTTAAATGTGATTTATAAATAAATATTCACTTACTTACTTACTGCCTTAATGACTTACTTACTAGTTGTCCTCATTGGAAATTCAGTCATACAGCATTAGAAACATCATAAGCAGGACTAGCTATAAGATCACTGTGGTTTGAGGTGATTTAGGCATGTAGTTTGCACAACGCTAATGAGAAGGGTACAAGTTTCCATAACTTATAACTCCAGTGCAGAATTATAGAAGCAAAACAGCCCCCTTTGGACAGGAAATGTTTGGGTAATAAATCATTCTTGGTGAATGCATTGTCAAATCATTGTTATCTATAGTGTAAGGTTTGCTTTGCAGGTAACAGTTAGTACTTTGCAGTGTTGTTCCTGCTCCAGTGAGGTAAAAAGTGGCCTCGGCCTGGTAATAAAAGCAGTTAGATTTGTCACTTTGTCGCTGTGCAGGCTGATTATGCAGGCGGAGTGCATAGCCCCGTCAATTAAAGTGGCCACAGCCAGATAAGTAAGACAGATTTGCGATGCTTAAGCGTCCAGCATGTAAGGCAAAGATAAAGGGAGGGACACAGTGTCCAGAGCACAGTGCCCCTATAGATCCCCCATCGATATGAGAGAGACTGGCTGGAAAACCCACATCAATTAAGCTTCCTCAGACAACCAACACCCAATCAATCACCCGGCTCCAACCTGCTTTAATTTATCGCCTGTTTAACGCTATTCTCTAAATGCATGGAGTGATACAATAAGAAACGCTCTATACGCTACACAAGAGAAGCGATGGGTCACGAACATATTAAAAGGGTTGCTTTAATAATTTAGCTGCTTCCGTGAGAAACTATTCACCTTGACAATAGTATCCTTTAAAAAGATAAAGCGAGCTAGCCTGGGACTTGCCCTCAGATGTGTACACAACAACTTAGAGTCATTTCTCAGTGTGCCTGGGCACACTGAGCAGCGGGAGCTAAAGCAGACACTCAGACTCGCTTCCTGCCTCTGCACACCGCCGTACAAACAAAGACATTATCCTCCAGGCCTCTCTCACACGTCTCCCGGAAAAGCACGGTAATAACGAATGCTAGTTCCTGCAGAAAGGTCACATCATGACTTAAACTCAATCTGTGCGCAGTGCTACGAGAAAAAGGCTTGTGTGTGCCAGGTTCATCTCTACAGCAACCTCGGCCCCTGCTGTTCTCCATTCCTCAAAGACAGCACAAAGAAGAGAGAGAGAGAGAGAGAGAAGTTATAACCTATGCCTTGGCAACACAAATGTAGTAGTATGTGTCATGTCAATAAAGCTCTCTGAATTGATCTGAACTGAACTAAAGAGGGAAAAACACTGGTAAATGTGTTTTTTTCCTATTGCGATAGAGAAAAAATAAAAACAGGCAAAAAATATAAGACAGAGAGAGAGGGAGAGGGGGAAATGAGACATGTGATGAAAAAGTGAGAGAAAGAAAATGAAAAAACAAAAGAGAATAAGAGAGGAAAAAAGGGAAATTAAAGAGATGTGAGAAAAAGGAGAGAATGAGAAAAAGCAAATGAGCAAGAAAGAAGGGGAAAATGAGAGAAAGTGAAAATGAGAGAAAGTGAAAGAAAGAACAAAAGAAAGAAAGAGAGATTGACAAAGAAAGAAGGGGAAAATGAGAGAGAATGAAAGAATGTTAACAAGAGAAAGAGAATGACAAAATGACAATAGAGAAAGAATGAGAGGAAGTGAAAGAAAGAAAGAAAGAACGAACGAGAAAGTGAGTGAGTGATGAAAGAAAGAAACAAAGAGAGAATGAGACAGAGAGAGAGAGAGAGAGAGAGAGATAGGAAGGATGAAAAAGAATGAGAGAGAGTCTCTGAATGAATGAGCACTGGCTCATATGTGAACCTCACTGATGATTTTTGTTCTTTGGAGAAAACTGTCTGCACTGTAATTGTGTCTCATTGCGCTCTGAGGTGGAGGTAAGAGAAAAGTCAGGCCTCAAGGCTACGGCAGAACAACAAAAGCAGACTTCTGTAGAGGGTAAATTGAAAATATCACCACACACAATCAGGAAAGAATAAGGCAAGCCATTTTTCCTCTCTCTGCTCCGTGCACTACTTCTAATAACAATAATAACAGTGGTAATGACATGCCACGGTCTGCTGGTCACAGAACATGTTTTGTTTGTTTCTCCTTTAATATTCTTTTCTTTCTGCCCTCCAACTAATGTGAAATGGAATTAAAGAGAAGTAATGAATTCTGAGCAGCCATGCCAGACGAGCTCGGAGAGGGCAGGTCTGAGCCGAACGAGCGCGCACCCGCTATTCTATCGTTTTCTTCTCTTCCTTTCTTTGGCGGCCTCATTTAGAAACTCAATATCAGCAGCAGGGCTTGCAGGCACATCAGCCAAGGCCATGCCCTCGCTGAGAGAATTAACTGAAAAGTAGAATTAATGGTAATTTCATGGATGCTGGACATAAGAAGCAAAAAGAGTGAAGCTAATGTAGGCAGCCTCGTAGCGATCTAACGTCCCAATAACCTTCACACATGAGGAGATTTCCATGAGGAAACAATTTAGAAGTAATTAGCCTTAGATCAGAGTTCAAAAATGCAGAATGAGCAAATACAGGAGTAATACAGGTGGGCATTATTTGATGTATTTGATTTAGCCCTCCCACTGCAGTGTGTTCTTCCTCTCACATTTCAGCTACTTCCATCTTGATTGAATTCCTTGGAAAACAAGTCGTTCCATCCCCACCCCTGTTTCCATACCCTTCCTCCCCCCCGCCTTCATCACCACCCCACCCCCTTCCGTCCCTTTTTGTTCAACTTCTTTAATTCCCAGCCAAGTTTTCCTCTTCTTCAGAACTGAAACAGGAGTTGTTTACAAAAAGTCAGCCTCAGTTTCCAGACTTGGTTACAAAGTTGAGCCCTTCTTTGCTAATGAAAACGAATAGCGCAGCACAGCCACACACACACCCCTGCAGGTATGCATGGGAAAAGGCCAATTTAAAGAACAATAATGAAACAACCGCACCTTAAATGAAAGCTGGTCTACTAATCGATCCAGCAGATTTATGCCAAAGTCTGTAAAAAGGTAATTATTCTAAAACCATTAAAAACAACTGTCATAACTAAGTAATTTGTGAAAACTCTGTAATTACAGTAATTACCTGTCAAGGTTTGCAGGTCAGAAAAAACGGATTTGCCTCCTTGTTTTTATATTAAGATGTATATAGACTTTAATATGAATGTGATTATATTTATATACCATATAACATAGTAGTCTACACTACCCTGCAAAAGTTTGGAATCCCTTATCATATTAATAATTGAATGGCTTTATTGCAAAACACATTAAATACCACTTTAAAAAATGTTATTTTTTCATGATGCATGCTGTTGGGAGTAGGCTTTACACATACAATATCCATCCATCCATCCATCCATCCATCCATCATCTAAACCACTTATCCTTCTGGGTCGCGGTGGGGTGCTGGAGCCTATCCCAGCTGTCATTGGGCGGAAGGCAGGATACACCCTGGACAGGTCGCCAGTCCAGCGCAGGGCAGACAGACAGACATACACATTCACACACACATTCACACATACACCGATTTTATGTACAACAGTAGCTTTTATACAATGTAGAATAAATCATATAAACCAGACCCTAAATCACATATTTACATATTTTTAGTTCCGTTCTTATACTGTAAACTCTACAGTGTCATTTTTTTAATAACAATGATTTTTGTTAAGTTCTCTACCTCAAGATTTAATCACCACTTTTAAAATATTGTGCGTTTTGGATGTAAACTTTATTCTCAATGTTTTACAGTTTTCTCAGTCAATAAGGAAACATCTACAGCACAGTTCATCATTCTGGACGTATCTAGTACTTCTCTTTTTTTAGCTTCCTAACTTCCTACTAATTATCTGAAAGCTATAAAAATTGCACAGGGTTAACATATTGAATTCATTCTATACGTTTATCTGGAACAGAATTTACTATATATTACTGAAAAC